CAGAAATGTCATTTAAAGTGCCCTTGATATGCTGTAGAAATTTCAGCCTGGGTTATCGAACTAATTTTTAAGAACCAAGCCGTTGAAAATAGCAAATTTAACATGGGCTATTATGGGAGTCCACCATAATTTCATACATTTTACGCCATAACTTTTTTATTCGACGACAGATCTTAACCAAAAACGAATATGTTATGCTTCAAGTCACTATACCTTTCGATTGGTATGTTAAAAATTACCCCTTATAGAACTAACTAATGAGTAATTAAACAAAAATGTGCGTAAAATCATTGATTTCGAATAGTGCGAGCGGTTGCCTGCCTAATGCGAGAAAGAGACAGACATACGCCTCGCTGCACTATTGTTATGATTACTGAATAGCCATCTTAATGCACGCTAAAGCACTTCATTTCGAAATTCGAATCATCAAGTATCGAAGAGCATTTCGAGTTTCTGGCTTTTCCGTCCTCTCGCAGCTGCGTAACTGCAGCTTAACTTTTAATTTTTTTTTTCTTTTCTTTTCCTTTCTCTAAATGTATGCTAGTTCTAGTCAATTCGTTTGTACAAGTTTTAACACGTTGCCACGCAAGCATAGTGCATACACAGCAAGATTTAAAAGTATTAGTGAAAAAAAGTATAATTAATACAAAATATTTCAAATTGTAAACAATTGTGTGAAGTGTGCGTGAGTAAGTAAAAATGACGTTCATCTCGGAACAAGACTCCAGCAAAATTATTCAAAATGAAAATAAAGAATCCGACAAGCATGATTTCGAGCAAGCGGATGCCATCGTCAATCAAGAAAAATTCGAAAATTCAAGGGATCTATTACCTTTAGAACGACGAAAACTAGATGTTATTATATAATTTTTTATAATTGTTTATATTATATAGTATATTACTGCCCTAGGCCGCGAAAAACAGAAAAGTCCCAGCTGCGAAGCGAAGCCGAGGCCGATAAACACGTGCTCTGGGGCTTTCTTTTTTCGCGGTTTAGGCCTGTATAACTATTTTTCATACACAGTGGGCCGAAAATGGCTCCTTCCGCTTTGCGCAGCGGCAGGGAAGTAGTCAATTTTGGGCCGTTGGTACGAAAAATATTGATAGAAGAGGTGTTACACGTAGTAAATTTACTCTGGAAATGTATTAAAAAAATTTTTTTCATTCATTTTTGCACGTTTTTAGCAATGAAAAATGTACTTGAAAAAGTGGTACAAAAAAAGAGGAATGTGCGCCGTTGACGAAATCTCGGGAACTAATGAACCGATCCTTACGAAATATTTACCAGACATTCTTTACGACTATACCCTGTTTAAAAAAGTCGCTATTTCAAGGCTGCGTTGGATTTCAACGTGTCCATCGTGCACAGGTGATTTCAAAATCGATAATTTTAAATACGTGTAAGGCGTCTGCCCTTATTTTCGCTCAACGTTGAATACATTTTTAGTATTTATGTAATATAATTCTGATCAACATGTTTGATTCATACTCCCAATTTTTCTCGATTTTTTGTGTAAAATTAAATTATGAATATCAACTATGGAGCAAATATACAGATATGAGCGAAAACCGGGACAGACTCCCTACGCTAAGTAATCGGTAGAGAAAATTAATTATATATGGGTCNCGATGTGTGATGGCGATTCTATGCACGCACACGCACAAATTTTGGAGCAAATCCATGAGCCGAAGGTGAGAAGGTCTCCTTGTTAGTGTAAGTTTCATCGACTCTATTTAAAAAATCAAAGCGTGTCGGTCATCTGGCGATGGCGATTCTATGCACGCACGCATTGAAAAATATACTCGCCATAGATCGATTTATACAGAGAAACAATGGTGCGACTTAATGAGGGAGTGTAAAAAGAAGGATAAATATCAAGTAAATCAAAGGGTACAGTCAGATATATTTGACTTCCTGGATCTCTCAACTAAATTTAATTGGACCTCGGGCAAAATTTCCACCGTTCACGAAATCATGCTAAAACCGAATGATATATACGCATACATAAAATATGATTTTAAGCATGATCCATGCAAAAAAAACAATTTTGAAAAAAAACGTCGACCTAGAAACCATATCAGAGTATCAACTCAAGCGTGCCTACAATGAAAAATTTGATTTACCCGGAAAAAAAAAAAAAGAAGATTTGAATACTATATTGAAATAAAGAATTATACCTACTGATGATGAGAATTTTTATACAAAAATTTTATCATAAAATTTCAAATTGATAAATATAATGTTTATTTTTGTACGACTGATTGAAATTTGAGTTCAGTTTAAGTGAAGTTAATTTAAAGAAATAATTGATTTTTTTTTATAAGACAGAATCGATGCATTCGATTAAAAGTTATTTGATTTAAGTTAATTAAAGTTAAGTTAAGAAAATAAACTGTTTCTGCACATTAACAAAAATTATTTCTGAAAGTATTATGTTTTGTTACGTTTTGTTAAGTATTTGTGAAAATATAATGTTTATTTTTGTACGACTGATTGAAATTTGAGTTTAGTTTAAGTGAAGTTAATTTAAAAAAATAATTGATTTTTTTTATAAGACAGAATCGTGAATTCGATTAAAAGTTATTTGATTTAAGTTAATTTAAGTTAAGTTAAGAAAATAAACTGTTTCTGCACATTAACAAAAATTATTTGTGAAAGTATTATTTCAATGTGTTAGTTTTCCTCATATAACGACGAAAAGTGTTAGTTTTCCTTAGAGAACGACGAAACATGTTAGTTTTCCGTAGAGATCATCGAAAAGTGTTAGTTTTCGTTAGAGAACACCAAAAAGTGTTAGTTTTCGTTAGAGAACATCGAAAAGTGTTAGTTTTCCAGACAGGTGGCTGAAATATGCTATTTTTCGTTGCAGAATAAATACTGATGTTAGTTTTCGCTAATAAATCGAGACGTGCTAGTATTCCTTAACAGCGTCGATTTACGCACCAAAAATTGGCACATAAAAATCGCGAAGATTACTTATGCAACAAGTGCGAGAGAAAATTTGAAAATAAATCGACTTTACTCAAGCACAAAAAGATATTCCACGAAGTTTTCAAAGATTATTTATGTGAAAAGTGCGCATAAAGGTTTGGAAATAAACAGAGTTTGCTCCTACACTTAAAGACCGTACACGATCAGTGCGAAAAGAAATTGGGACAAAGGCATCTATTGCTCACACACCAAAAGACAGTACACGAAGATCGGAAGGATTTCAAAGTCTCCAAAGATTACTTTTGCGATGATTGCGGGAAGAAATTTGGAAAAGAATCGAGATGGCTCTTCCACATTAAATCAGTCCATGAGAATCGCATATCAATTTTTATTTAAATTTATCATCTTTATCTGTAAGCATCTTCTCGTCCATCGTACTACTTTATCGACCGGAATTCTAAATACACCAGTTATATAACTTGTTAAATCAACAAAATATTTAATAATAATAATTAATCGAACAATACTCAGTAATAGGTACTGGAGGAAAGTTAATGAAAAATTCTAATTTCCTTCATTTTAAAGAAATATTTCATAGATTAAAATGGATAATTTATTGAGCCAAGACAATTATTATCTTAATGAAATAAATAAAATATAGATTTGATTAAATATTTTATCTTTTCCATTCATATTTTATCAATCTAATGAATTCAGATGAATTATTTGACAACTTCAACAAAATAATTTCATTCAATAAAAAAAAGATTATTTCAATGAAATTATTTCTTACATAGTATTCAATTAACAAAATGTTGTTGAATCAATGAAATGTTCATGGTACAATGATTCTTTTTCTCAGTGTATATATGAGACTTTTTTAAACTCGGGTCGGTAACTTAGGAAATTAGAGATACAATTTTGAATCGATTATGATCTAAACTCGAAAATATACTTTCTATCTAAAAAAGCATGATATTTTCTCCCCTCTCTTAACTTTCCTCTCTCTTTCTTCTTTTCTCTATATCATACTATTGCGGATAGGAACTGCTACTGTACGAGTGCGGGTAAAATACTAACATCAGTTCGACTCAATCAATCGTGGAAACAAAGTGAAAACAGACCACGAGGAAAATAGTCAGTTAATTTGAAGTTTGACGTTATTATAAATACAAAAATCAAACATGGAATACAGCGGTATATTTAGCTATAATGCCAGGTAATTTTTATTTTATAAAATTAAAATTGAAATACATTACACCATAATATTTAATCATATTAAAATTATTTCAGAGTAAAAGAAGAACCATTTGATGCATCGCTTGAAGAAAACAATCAAGAAATAGTTGAGAAGGCACCGGATGCTAGTGAAGTTAAATTCTCACAAATTCTGCAAGAAAATCAAGTAAGAATTTTTCTTATTATATCGATGCGAAACATCTATATTCGCGTTTGGTGTCAGGGGTAAACCCGTAAAAACCGAGCGTCCGCCCGTCCGTCCGAGCGAGCGCAATTTTGATAGTAGAACTGCCTATACAGCGTCGGTTTGCGCTACGCGCTGTGATTGGCTGCCGCGCCAGCTACAGAACTGCTTTCTGCTGCTGCCCGCTGCCGAGACTCGACGCACGTATCTCTTTCTCTCTCGCTCTCGCACGCGTGTATGACTGTGTTTACGTATTCACACGAGGCAACGAAACAACATAAGCAACAGCAGTCGGCTTAGTTCACGGGATTGACTGCGTTAAGATATCTTTCTCTCTCTTACTTATGCATATACGATAATACATAGAATACGTATGTGCTGTCTATGCGTATACGTCTCGAGACTGTAAGCACTATCGTGCATGTTTTCAAATCTCATATTAATCAATACATGTATGCATACGTGTCTATGAGTGTGTGTCTTCTTAAGGGAAGTCGACATTTTTATCGTGTTATATTTTTTATAACTTGTAATGTATTTGATAGGTCCATTGACTCGATATTAAAGGAAGTTTTTTGAAGTACTTCATTGAATAAGACTAAAAAAATTCCACGAAGAAATGTTAGACAAGTTGCAACTTTGAACTGATTCAAATATTGAACAGACAATGTGTGTATAAGTCATTACAGATGAGTCGATAATTTAATTGTAAACAATAAATCATAAACGATTTTGAAAATCGCAACTTTGCCGTAACTGTTAAAGTATTACAACTAGAAAAAATCAATTTGTAAATCATATGTTTTGTCTTGTCAAAAAGCACGTGGTTTTTCCAAAATTAGAATAGATGTTTACGAGTAACCTTTGTCAAGTTAAAGTTAAAAATTAGATTTAAAAATTTTTTAAACAAATATTATAATTTATCCATTTGTATGAATAAATTGGGACAGATTTGAAAATACAAAACGAACTCAGTCACATCTATGTATGTACATATTGATGGTGTTATAAAGCTGTCACCTGCATCCGATTCAAGATAACGGATCACTTGTGTCTCGGGTTTCACGAATCTAAATAACTCTGTAATTCGATATCGTTTCTGTTTTATGAGAGTAATATAGATCTGTATCTACATAACTCGACAATAGTCAGAAAGTTGGAAAATGAAATTAAAGTTGCGTAGATGTCGATCGGATTATTTTTCGTGGAATAAATCCTGTGCATCAGTAATCACGCCCCTTCTTTTCTGTCATGCTTGGGCGGAGTCTATAGCATGCTCTTTCGGTCGCGTCTGCTGCGCGACTCTACCAAGCTCAGCCCCGCGCATAAGTAAAACGACGCAAAATGGTAGCGTGGTACTTAATTTCTTCAGCATTTTATCACTGTATGCGCTTCGATTTATACATATAAAATCATATTTACGAATAATTTACATCGTTATCAAAAGTTTCAGCTTGCCGGAAACTATTTTAAACTCCGATTGTAGTAGTGTGACATTGCATTCAACGCATTTTCCGGCTCTTACACAATACATACAATGAATCATGGGATTCATACTCGCCGTCATCGTCACTCTCGTCGTTATTGTCGCTTTCATATATATAAAATTCATCGGTATCGTAGTCGGGCGAGGACATCTCACTCGGTCTCGCGCGCGCACCACACGCGATTGTTAAAAATATAAAGTATTTTTGGTGTTCACGCTGCAGAGTCGACGCGTGGAAAACCTCCGGAACCACCAATTTACTCTGGGCCTTTACTTTCTAATTGTCTAAACGCTGTTGCGCCAAGTGTGCACGTCGCCTGCGTCCAACGATCTGCCTCGGCACAGTATAAAATGTTACATCCGTCTCGACTCTAGAAATGTAGCTGGCGATCGGTGCAGCACTTTCATAAATACTGTGTATAGATATATTTTGTCCACTAGAACACAAAAGCGTTGCAGTTATTTCAATGAGACGTTCCGTTCCGCTTCCCAATGGACAAATATATCCACGCTCAGGGTATAAATCTAAGCAATTGGACTGACTTTAATTTTGAATTTCGATAAAGAGTAGAGTTTACGATACAAGACAATATCGATATTTTTTGATTATTGATTATTGTATCGAATACAATTTTTCAATATCGTATCGGTATCGATATTGTCAATATTTTATTATAACAAATATGGTATCGGTATCGTATTCTATACGATATCGATACGATAATCGATATATATTGTGCATAGGTTCGTTATGATAAAAAAAATACGACGTTTCATCTTTTAATATTAAATAATTATTCAAGTACATGAAATTGAAGTATACTTATATAAGTAAACGAAATATAATGTTACACGCTATCTAAATAAACATTACAAAACACCTTTGCATATTTCGCTTTTAAGCGAGCTCTTCATCCACCTATTTATGCAGAGGAGATCACGTGTACTTTCGTCTTTTAACAAACTTCTTTTATTGTTTACAATCAAACTTGCCCCTGAGAAAAGCCTTTCTACAGGGACAGACGTTGCCTGAATTGATAATATGTCTCTGGCTACTAGAGCTAAAACTGGATATTCTGTTTGGTGATTTTTCCACCAATCCAATACATCCGCATTTGGATTCACTCTAGTAGCATTGAAATATTGGTCAATTTCTTCTGTTTGATTGTATGAAACACTTGATGTTTCGAACAAAACATCGAAATTGAGTGTTTCATTTCTCATTTTTCTTTTTTTTAGGCAGGGCTCTTTGACGATTGTAACGCGAAATTTTTGATTGTATCTACAATAAACTTCGGTTAATTTTTTTACGGTTTCTTCTTTCATTTCTCGTCCCCAAGCAGCCTTGTCTAAACCAATCGACTTGATTCGAGGGTCGAGCACTAATGAGATGCTGTAGATCCAATTAAACTTTTGGTAATGCAATAATAATTTCTTTTTTCCTTTTTTTAAGTAAACAATTACTTTTTCATCTTCTTCGTCACTTTCTTCTTTGTCATTCAAACTAAACGTTATTGTTTCAATATAATCTATTAAAATATTAAATTTTCTTACGGCATCCGGCAACGTCACGCGATTTTCTCCAATAATATGCTTATACACTATCTCAAAATTTCCTAAGTACTCGACAATTAATTCAATGCGAGCCCATTCATCTAAAGTTATAGTGTAATCTTTTAAATTAGAATTTGTTTCGCACAACATTATAAGAGCATCTTTCAAATTAGAAGCTTCTTGCAGCATATTATAAGTACTATTCCATCGTGTTTTACAATCTATTATTGGCTTTTTAAATTCTAGTTCGAGAATATTACAACAATTTTTCAACTTTTTTGTAATAACTGCTGATTTTTTAATTTTTTTATTTAAGTTTCTAATTTTTTTTTATTGTACTACCTTGTTTTTTTTTATTGTACTACATTGTACTACATTTTACTGGAACTAATTTTGTTTTTTGTTTCCTCGTCTTCATCTTCTTCCTCACTCTCAGAGCCGTGATTTTTGAGAAAGTCATTTTCTGTACCATCGGGATAAACATTATCATTATCACATTGGATTTCCATCATTTTCAAGGTATCTTGGTATATCAATTAATAATTTACTTAATTCTGTAATAAATGTAGAGTTTGCAGAAGCATTGTTTACAGTGATCCCAATAATTTTATTTGCAATACCGTAGAATTCAACAACATTCAAAAAAATCTTAGCTATGTCAATTCCTGCATGATGACCTTTTGAAGCCACAAAATCTAATGTGAGTGATCGTGGGATCCACTGATTATCAATGATTCGTATTGTTATGCCGTAATAGGATTTATTTGCTCTTGACGACCAAATTTGTGAAAGCAAATTTGGAGTTATTATTTTTTTAAATTTCCTTCAAATTCTTCTGCATTTTTAGAAATTCTACTGTGATTATATCACCAGCTTGGTTTCTTCGTGGATAAGTAAAATTTTTGTTTAAAAATTTAAAGAAATTTTGTGTTGGTTCGTCATGAAAAAACTCTTCGGCAAATTCTTCTCTGCCATCCACGATACCAACATCGTATTGAAATTCACAACAGGATTGACCTATAAAAATACATTTTTCATTAGCCATGAAAACAAAATGAGTTGAAGTACAAAATATCGGAAAATCATATCTCACCTCTCCCCATCTCTCCCATTATTGGGATATCCCATCTCTCATTATTGAATCAATTCGTGGTTGTGAATTTTTCAATGGCCGTGAAGGAAAAAGTAAGTCAGGTTCTTTCGTATGTCATTGCACGTGTGCCTTTAATCCACTGGTATCACTGTTTGTCATTTTAATGTGTGTTTTGTATGTACCATTTGGATTCTTTCCACACAATAGACAATATCCATATTTTATACTATTAATATAATCATACTTGAAATAGTCTTTAAGACATTTCTTGTTTGAATCATCTACATTTGTGTTTTCTTTCGAAGTCTGTCTTTCAACTTTTTCTTGCAATGACTTCTCATTTTCAATTTTTTGTTCAGTTTGTTCGTCATCACTACTTTCAATTGAGAGGAAATCCGTATCAATCAATTCTTTGCTACCTAAAAATTACACCGATTTTACTTATAATCCCTGCATCGACTCATTGATACATGCATCGTACAACATTGATAAAAAAATTACTTGTAAGCATAAGAGATCCGTAACTAATTTTCGTTGGACTTCATATCGCCGCTTGAGCAGCCGTGGTCCAAGGCGCGAGTAATTTGTTAAACCCAACGGACACACGTCGGCTTAATGAAAAATTATCAATGCGTGCTAAGCTAAGAGTTACAGATCTGTTACTTTTACAAATAATTTTTATAACAAATTATTACTAACAGAAACTTACTTTTATCGCATTCATTACATAGTCTTTTTTCACCCGAACCTTCTTCTTGACCAATGGATTTCGAACACTCATCGATAATGTGCACATATTTACTACACATTAAACATTTGTGTTGTGAAGCCTCATGCCCATTTTCACAAGCTTTACACTTAACCATATTACACTCAGAACAATAGAATTATCAAAAATGTTTTACAATTATAAATGTCTAATTACAAAAGTAACTTTATTAATTTGCAACTCAAAAAAAGAAAATTAGCAGTCAATCACTAGCACTAGCTTGATCGCAGTGTACTACCTACTGACTTTCGATACATTTAAATTTACATCTTCATTGTTCATATTAGATTGATCAATATTTCGAACTAAAATAAATTATTATTTTTTTTGTAGGACCAAACGCTCCAAGAAATTGATGAAGATCAAAGTGAACTGAATGAGGATGCTAAAATTGTTTTCGAATGTGAAGACGCCAAGTCCACCATCAATTTTAAAATTCTCAAGTCAATCAAACAAGAAAAAGATATCGTTAAAAAAGAATCCATGACCGACGAAGCAACAACCTCAAATATTGACGATCACTCCTATGCAATTCACAGCTCAATTACACAAGCACAAGCCGCGGTCGAAGTGAAACAAGAAATCATCGACGATGTTGCAAATGAATCGAATTTTAATGTCGACAGTGAGCCAGAAAGCGAATTGGAAATAGTTTTTGAATGCGAGTACAGTCAAAGCCCAATTAAGAAAGAAATAGCAGAGGATACAATAAAAAAAGAAGTCGTTAGCGATGACGGAACAATTGTGGAATCCGAGGAAAATAACGAACCAACGGCTACCGCAGAAAATTTCAGTGACTCCGTATCCAATCGTATCGCGGCTCGAACGTGCACAATTTGCAATCGTACCTTCAAAACCATCGGTTATCTTAAAACTCACATCGATTCGGCGCACAAAGGCGTCAAACACAAGTGCAAAAAATGCGAGAGGATATTCAAGCACCCGCGCAGTTTGTACAAACACGTGCAAGCGCGACACGAGGGCGTGACCCATCCGTGTCCCTGGTGCAAAAAGACGTTCACCCAGAAGGGCAGCGTCAAGGAGCACATCGACGCGGCGCACAGGCACATCGTGCACAAGTGTCCGGAGTGCGACAAAGAGCTCACGAAGAAGTCGTCGCTCAAGAAGCACATCGACGCCGTGCACAGAGGCGTCAAGCTCCAGTGCGACCAGTGCTCGAAGAGCTTCACGCGGCTAGATCATCTGAAAAACCACATTAACTCGTTCCACCACGGCATCAGGCCGTTCAAGTGCAAGTCCTGCTCGCAGGAGTTCGTGCGCAAGGATCATCTTCGTGATCATCATCTCGCCGCCCACGAGGGCGTCACGTACAACTGCGACGCGTGCGGAGCGAGCTTCAAGCAAAAGATCGCTTTGATCGAGCACATCGACACGAAGCACAACAATGTGCGTTACCCGTGCGACCAGTGCGACAAGGTGTTCAGCCGGAAGGGCGGACTGAGCTGTCACAAGAACGCGGCTCACAAGGGCGCCACTTATCCGTGCAAACTATGCGGAAATATATACAAGAAGAGGATGGCACTGAACGTTCACTTGAAGCGTCACGAGAACATCACTCACCCGTGCGAGATATGCGGTAAGGAGTACACGCAGACGAATAATCTGAAGATCCACATCGAAAAGGAGCATCTCAATATCAGGCACCAGTGCGAGATATGCCAGCGGGAGTTCACGCGAAGAGATACCCTCAAGATGCACATCAAGAAAGCACACAGTGACTGACGGTGTCGCTGCTACACCTGAGAAGTTCAAAAACAAATCGAGAGGCGGAAAAAGTAGCTGGGCTCGCGACAGACGCGTTATTACGTTATTCAATAGAAAAAATGTAAATTAATTAAAATTGATGTAACTAAATTGAATCACACAAGGTAAAATGAAGGAATATTCCATTGTAATTGTAATTATAATAGCAATAATAATTTTATTGATAAAAGTTTTCGTTTAATTATATTACTATTTCTACTTGACCCTTTACAGTTTTATTAAATGCATCTGTTGATAAATGCTGATTTTAATTATTATTAAACTATTCTAAAATTTTTCTAACAAATTCAATCAAAAACTAAAAATTTGAGTTCATTTGAATCGAATTAAATCAAAAGCCAAATGTCAACATACGCTTTGAGATAAAAAAAATTAAAAATTATGATATCAATTTAATTTGAAGAATAAATCTCAATGAAAAATAAAACTTTCATTGCCTAAATTGTAAAAAAAGTCTTTATAGCACTGTATGGCATAAGTTCACATTTATGGCACGCTTTTCTGTGGCATAAGTCGCACTTAAACACACTGAACTTACACTAGACCTACTTTAATTCTGTCCAGACCAAATCCACATTCCGCCGCCGCGAAAATAAAATTCAGACCACCATCTACCTCTTCTCATAGTTTAAGATGCTCTGAGTAAGGCAGATAAGGCAGTGACGTTACTTATTGGCGAACGTAATTCGCTATCGATACGTCGAACGTAATATTCGATAAATATCTAATCGAGATTGGCTACATAAATTTAACTTCTTTAAAACTAATGCAAAATAAATGATAAAGATAAGCAAAAATGAGGTGTAGTTAAAAAGCCAGTGAAATCAAGCAGTGGCAAGATATAATGTTCATAAATATGAAAATTTAATGATTATGATTAACAATTAACTTTGTGTAAAAGTAGGTGAAAAAGAGAAATTATCTGATGGTGAAAAAACTGAAAAAACTGAAGTGCATTGCAAAAATCTCAAGAGAGATTTTATTGGTCGTGAAACAACGAATCGAAAGTTAAAAAATGAAGATTAGATTTATGTAGAATCTTATAATTACAATAAACATCATCTATTTTTAAATCAACAACTTTTATTTAATTCTTAATTTTTAACATGTTACAATTTCTTCAATATTTATAATATCTTACAGTTTACAAATAATTATACGATTCATTTAATGAAATGTATATATTCAAAAGCATAAAAAGTAATGGATCTATAGTATAAAGTTTTACAAGATACAGAAGTATTGTGAAAAATAAAGATCTCTAGCAAATTTATCTAGACTCGTACAAATAGATTATTGCCCTTCTTGTCCAAGTAGAGACAATTGCTTGAGAAATTGTTTAGCATTCGTCAGTGTAGTTGAACCATACACAATTTTTTTTGTGGTCCCACCGTTAGCTCGTTGCTAAAAAGAAAAAGAAAGTTTTTAAAATCTTAATGTTCACAGTTACCGTTAAGTTAAAGTTGTATAATATATTGTGGGTGTTGCTTGAATAAAATATTGAATACTCATGTTTGCTCATTATGTGCTTTCAAAATATTTAAAAATTGTGTACAACAAACATACATGATCAATAAAATTTATGACAGTATTTTCACTATTTATCATTCTCGTAGTATGAATAAGTAAGCGATTGAATCCAGTTTTCATCTTATTTACAGCAGGATCTATCGAACACTACACAAACTTTATAACTATAAATTTCTCTGAGTATTCTACATATTTCACTAATGTATACCAATATTTTTTACGGATAATCAAATTGGAATAGCTTAAACATGAATTCTATCATTTGACAGTGGTATACGATACTTTTCAATAAAATAAAAATAAAAAATAAAAAAATGATCAAAATCTCAAGTTACTTTGCAATTCATTAACAAATGACGGTCCATACAGTTAGTTACATGAATTGGAATAATTAATTTTTTTTGTGTTAAATTACCTTTCAAATGCCCCAGCACACGCAGCTTTCATTATAAATGTTTTGACAGTTGATTCATCTACTTTGGTAAAATTTGGAGTTTTCATCACAGCAGTCATATGGTTTAGAGCAAATTTAAAACAAAATTCTTCTACTTCCTATAAATACAAAAAATCAAACTGATTTATCATTTTTTATACAATCATTTTAACCAATATACTAAATTCTTCAATAATCAAATATTTACTTACTTTAGCATTATATTCAATGGCAGTACTGTAAAGAAAAGCTACATTTGATACAGTAATTCCTTGTTTTATCATTTGAATGCAACGACGTTTCAATCGCTGCTCATAGTATGCATTTGCCAAATCCAAGAGTTCTGAAAAGTGTGTTTATTCATTTATTCAATGTAAATTTAATAATCTCTAATTAAATTTTCATCTTATAATTCTTAGAATTATTTACCTAGTGCATGTTCTGGAAGTAAATCAACTTCATTTGTATACAAGAATTTCAGAAAGGAATGATGTACATGATATGAAAACGTTTTATATTCAATGACTCTGTTGAAAATTAAATAATAATTTCACATATGCATATAAAATTTTCGAGTATAAATTAAAATAATTACTCTTTATTATTTTCAGACCGGTGCTCTTGGAACATTGATCCAAAATACTGACGATGAATTTTCAGTATAGCTTTATGTACATAAATTGGTTTACCATGAACTTTTATAGTTAAGTCACTTGTAGTCTAGAAGAATATAGTAAATAGAGTAAAACACATACTAAATAGAAAGTAAAAAATACTTTTGGAACAACGAGAAAGTAATTATAATAAAAAAACCAACCTCATGATAAAATACGTTTCTCATACTTTCAATAAATCCAATTTCTACATTATTGTCCAAGATAAGAGGTTCATGCATAACACTGGGAGTACCATCGCATGCAAGTGCATCGTGCATATGTGGAAGTGGAGTTGCCATTGGAGTTATGACACTTTGTCCATGGCTTTGACCACACATTAATATTTTTCTTCCTTGACACATTGCTACACTTATGTAGGTGTAATGTATGGTCGCTATGTCGGAAACTCTCCCCATTTCTGGTATACTCAACTGCAAATAGGAATAGACAATTTAGAATATAATATTTTTATCTTATAATTTTAATTTACTTTTACTTACTTTTGTAGGCGAAAACACATTTGCTTTACTACCCAATTTAATTTGGCCAAAGTATGCGCATATCCACAAGCAATTTTTTCTGAAAAAAATTCAATGTAATCAAACAAGCAAATAGTAAATTATATTTAAGCTTTTATATTATACCTATCACAACTCCAGTTAATCCAGTAACTTTGCAAGGACTTAATTGGTTAACGTAACTGCCAATCCCGAGCTGTCCAACACCATTGCAATTACATCCGCATACTTCTCCAATATCAGTCACAGCCATAGCGGATGTTTGTCCACATGCAACAGACACTATTACTTTACCACTTAAAGATGAATTCGCTTTACGTGGTGCAGCTTGATTTGAACCGATTCCACTACTAACTTGGTGATAAAGCTGTGATATTTCATCTGCAAATGTTTTGAAGATCATTTTGTGCGGATTCAAGAGAACTTCCAGCTTCTGCAGCGAGTTTTGACAATGTATTGACATCTGATTCTAGCAGCATACTTCTTTGTCCTGTGTCCAGAAGCTGGAATAATGCAAGATTGTTAAAAAAGTTGTTTACATTGGTATTATAAAAGTTGAGTAGCCTTTTGGTAATGAATATTTTATATTATTAATTGACTTAAAAGGCTACAATTTTACACAAAAAGTAATTATCGTGAAGTATTCAGATACTTGGTACATGTATGATTAAACTTTTGAAGCACTGCACCGGCATATATTTTACCATGCAAGTTTCATCACAAATCATCATGCTTTTTTGAAAAAAAGTGAGATCAATGATTATTTACTGATGAAGAGGAACCCAAATTTCACTGACACATATTACATTGATTACAATTAAATTAATTTGATCTCATTTTCTGTATCTTTAATTTGAAATTAAGTCAAGTTAGTCAAAGCATCTTAGGATATTTCAAACGTTATCAGTACATTAATCATTCTGATTAATTTGAAATAATCCATTTGTGGAGGCTTTATTACGATATTATTAAGCTGCAAGAGTTCTTAATACAGGGAAAAAGTCATATTAACAAATCAGTAAATACGTAAAAAAGACCATATGCCCCAACCTTTACCTGAAGACTCTTCTCAGTTACAGGTATTTGAAAATGTCACAATTGTGACTTTTGTAAAATTTAACATAGTATGCTAATGTAAAACATTGCTACTTATTTTATATATTTTGTTAAATTACTAATGATTCCTCAGAGAATCAAGAAAAGTAATTCTAAAACAATTAGATCTTTCACCTTGTTACGTAAATTAGTGAGTTCTGTTTTCAAATGTTGAGTAGAATCGGAAATTCTAAGCCCCTTTTCAATATCATTCAATTTGTTCTGAAGTTCTGAGACTTCTTGAGCAGATATCTCACTCCATTGGCGATATTGTACAATAGCCTTATAAAAATAAAAATGAAATGTATTTTTAAGAAGTTAAACATATTAAATAAAAAGATAAGTTTTTTACCAAGTCAAGTTTTCCCAAAGTATTAATCTTTTGCTGTTCAGGCAATTTTGAGTAAATATGTTGTAAAGTTTTCACATGAGAATCTAATTAAATAATACGTGCTGTAAAAGTTTCCAATTCTGCTCGACTCTTATCAACAGATGACTGTGACTCTTTCAAGTTTTAAGAGAGTATAAGTTTTTCTGCTTCTGCAGCTTCAAGTTGTTTTTCAAGTTTTTTCAATTCATTCAAATGAATCTCAGAGAATAATTCAACCTACATAATCAAAAGTTAATTTCAATTAACATTTTTCAAATAACATTATAAAAATGTTTCTAAAAATAATTGTTTTACTGGCTTAGAAGGTGCTGATATTCCACGTTCATGTGATTTTAAGTCTTCTTCTATTCTTTTCAAAACTGAAGATTCATCTTCACAGTCACAGCACATGGTATT